ACACTTCAGGTTACAGACTCTGCTAACCCAGAAATATTACCTCAGGTTAAGAACTTTGTTTCAGGATGAGAACAGAAATTGTGCAGCGGCAGCAGGAGGCCCCATTAGCTTAAGTGGTGCTTCAGGTTAAGAACAGTTTCAGGTTAAGAACGGACCTCCAGAACGAATTAAGTTCTTTACACGGGGTACCGCTGTACTTGCAAACCACAGTTTTCTCATTCACCCAAATATGGAAACAGGGGCTGTGAAAACTATAGTGAGTTAACATATGTGATGGGTGGACTTTGGGTCATAGTCCAGGGGACCCAGAAATCAATCAGTGCTGAGTGGAGTGTCATCCAATCAGGACAGAACAGAACAGAACCTGCCAGTTAAATTTTCAAATAGGGCTTGGGTAGAGTTTAGATAGGGCTTGGAAAGTGCAGAAATAGGGCTGGACTGGCATATAGTGCTCAAATAGGGATTAGATTAGATTAAGGTTACCAGATTTTTTTCAAAGAATCCGAGGACCTTTTTTTAAGAGAAAAAAGTTATTAAAAAAAGGTTATTTGTATATAAAAAGTTAAGAAGTCATATCTCCTCTTTTGTGGTCTCCTCTGTCGCGCGGCCTTCCTCTGGACCCCGGCCTGCTCTCTTGGAGCGCTAGCTGCCATGGAGTAGGCTCGGGTCGGGCCTGGGCTCGGCAATGTGTCCTTGCCCTCCCGGTGCTCTCCTACATCTCCTCCTCAGCAGTGGCGGCGGCAGCGAGGCAAGCTTGGGGCTCCCCTCTTTTTTCTCCTGCCTCTTTTACTCTCTTCCTTCTCCTTCTCCTTCTCCTGTTCTCCTTCTCCCTGTGTCGGCTCCGGGGTTTTCCTGGCCCCGGAGCGCCACTGGGCCGTCGGCCGGGTGGCCAGGCGATCTCACTCCTGGCTCAATTTGGGTTGGGGGGGTCAGTGGTTCTCCTGGTTGATGTGCTGGGCGTCCCCGGTTCCCCCTCGGCAGTGGCAGTTGCAGTCTCAGCAGCCCGGAGCCAGCCTGGTAGTGCAGTTGGCTCTGGCTGGCTTCGGGAGCTGCTCGCTGCTGTGGCGCCCGCCATTTTGCCTCACCGGAAGTCCCCATATGATGTGTCTTGTGCCATTGAACCAATCACACAACATTCATTCCCTGCTAATAAATCTACAACACTTAAGATATAAATCCGGGGACATCAAATGAAATCCAGGGACATTCCAGGGACGGATTTTGCCTGGTACAGATTTGTAAATCTGGGGACAGTCCCCAGGGAACGGGGACGTCTGGTAACCATAGATTAGATCCTGGAAAGGGCTTGGTTAGGAAATAGCTAGACAGGGCAACCCAGATTATTTGCTGAGGGGAAGGTAAAGATCCTAGAAGAGTGTTTTACAGGCTTAGCAGAACAAAATATCCATTATAGGAGGAATCAATTTATGCAGACACAGAAGGTTTTTGACTAGATCTGTAAAGAGTTTTTGACTGGTACCAGGTGTTGCAGCCAATAAACTGTAACCCTCATTGAGTGTGTATAAATAACATTCCAGTTTTCTTTCTAAAGTCCCTCATCCCTTGGATCCTCTTAGTTTGCAGTGAAATAAGTAAAGGATGAGTAGGAGCTTGCAACGCAGGTGCTTGGAGTAGCCCTGGTCTGATTTAGATATAGCTCAACATGGATAAACTGAAGGGAAAGAAGGCATTAAAGGGCCCTTCTACATTTGTTAGCCTTTCCTGTGCTCAGGACTCTGGACAAGACCAAGGCAGAATTTATAGGGTGTATGTTATATAACATTATTATCAGGTGATGAATGCTTCTGTGGTATCCTGACTCTTATACTCAGATAATCAGCCTCTGTTTTGAAGCAGCAGCAATATTTGCTTCAGTAGCTTAAATTACAGTGATTTCCATTTTTGTTTTTTGTAAAATAACATTGACATTTTTGAAGCTGATGCCTTTTCTCATATTATCAATGTGCCATAGCGTTGTTACCTTAATGGATAGCTTACAAAATTATCTCTTGAGCCGTTTCCCCTTAATACATGATTTTATATCTACGTCCGTAAATTTTGTAATATTGTAATTCCATCACACAGCTTGTGATCCATGCTAAGACCATGCCTTGGTTTTCTGATTAATGCGTGATCGTTTGCTGTTCTAGTAAACGACGGGCAGCGTTTGGGTGGCTGGACAAGCTAGGAACGTTTTGTTAAGTCTGTATTTTCTTCTACAGTCATGCTGTTGTTGCAGTGGATGCTCAGCTGATTTACTATATCTATATTCATCTACAAGTGGAGTGTCACGATCATGCTGAAGCTGCTGGTTTAGGCATATCTGCTACATGGCATTGTGCAACTCTGCTTTAAGGGTAGCACAAAATGGCTGGCTGTAGGGAACACACCAAAATTAGTCCACACAGTTCAAAGCAAGGGACAAAGCAAGCTGTTGTTGTTGTTGCAAGTTCCCTCACTGTGAGAAGTGAGGTTACAGAGAACCAGGCAGAGGGCCTTCTCTGTAGTGGCGCCTGCCCTGTGGAACGCCCTCCCACCAGATGTCAAGGAAATAAACAACTACTGTATCTGACTTTTAGAAGACATCAGAAGGCAGCACTGTTTAGTGAAAATTTTCATGTTTGATCTTTTATCGCTTCTTCTTCTTCTTCTTCTTCTTCTTCTTCTTCTTCTTCTTCTTCTTCTTCTTCTTCTTCTTCTTCTTCTTCTTCCTGGAGCCGCCCAGAGTGGCTGGGGAAACCCAGCCAGATGGGCGGGGTATAAATAAATAAATAAATAAATAAATAATTGAGAAGAGTAAAAATGTGACACTGCATTATCCCAAGATCAGTGATCCCCTCCCTGAACACTACTGTAGTTATCTGTAGTAGTGGTGAGGACAGCAGCAGCAGCAAATGACCCACCATTTTAATTGCCGTAATGCCCCAATTAGGTTTAATTCAAGGACACTGCAGAACCCAGTAGGTGGCTCAGTTAGGGCGCTGCTGATGCCAGCCATGAGACTTTAGCTTTCAAACTGTTAGGTTGGCAGGAGCAGGGACCAAACAACGGGAGCTCACCCCGTTGCACCGCGCCGCTCACCCCACGTCGCTCTGGAGCCCCCAAAACTGGGGTTCCCCACGTGTGGGGGAGGCGCAAAAGGTGCCTGCCGAATCCCACGCTCACAGGATTCTCCCGCCTGTGGTTTTAACGGGTCTCCGCCTTCGCCGTGGCGGCCAGACCCAGATTCCCATGGAGCAGATTCGTCCCGGTCAGAGGAATTCCGCCATTACCGGAGGCACCTCCCCAGAAGTCCCAGGTGACCATGGCATTCTTGTTCCACTCAGTATAAAGCTAATAGAACTCAACACTTTGAAGAGCAAACAAAACCTCTAGTTGTCTTCTTATTGGTTTGTGTTAGGTCTTAAGCATTGCTGTGAGGTTGTTTGTAAAAGGATCATCCCTTCTCTTCATGAGCCTCTCCCATTAAGGGGGTAGCTTTTCCTTGTTTACTCTGTAATTACATATCATAAAATGAAGTGTTCATCTCATCACTTTTCTTCTTCCCTGATGCATCCAGATGTACTTAGCCAGCTCTCCTTTAAAGCCCAGTATATTTAAATCCAGTTATTTGGTTTTGTTTTGTTTTAATTACCAAGGGACAGACTGGGTTGCTTTTACGGATGAGCATGTCTTTAAAAAAAACCTTAAGAACCCAAAATAATTCTCAGTTCTGTGCTCTCTCACATACCTTCAATTGAAGGCTTGTGCCATTTTTATTTTTTATTTTTTGTTATTGTCCTGCTCTTCTGCCCTTTAGCAACGGATGGGCACAAATGATTCAGCAGCTGAAGCTTTTGCTGGTGGAGAAATGAACTACTTCGTTTGTTGAATGTCCCTGTATTTGTTTGGTTGCAATTATTAATTTTTCCTTCAAGGATAAAGATAAGCCCTTACATACAGTGGTACTTTGGGTTAAGTACTTAATTCGTTCCGGAGGTCCATTCTTAACCTGAAACTGTTCTTATATGCAGCTTCTGTTACACATTGTCAATTAGGGTGATAAAAACAGTTCAGTTCCTCATTTAATCTTGTACATGATAACCCACTTCAAGGTTGCAGTCCTGTGCACATTTTGGAGTCTGCCTCGTCAAACAGCGAGGCTCGCTTATAGGTAAACATATATAGTGGTACCTCAGGTTAAGGACTTAATTCGTTCCGGAGGTCCATTCTTAACCTGAAACTGTTCTTAACCTGAAGCACCACTTTAGCTAATGGGGCCTCCCGCTGCCATCGCGCCGCCGGAGCACGATTTCTGTTCTCATCCTGAAGCAAAGTTCTTAACCCGAGGTACTATTTCTGGGTTAGCGGAGTCTGTAACCTGAAGCGTATGTAACCCGAGGTACCACTGTATATGGTTTTGGGGATTTATTTACCATCTCAAACCAAGTTCCAACATATCTTAGCATACTGAAATTTCTCAAAACAAAAGTGTGTTCAGGGCCATATTTAGGTTTGATGAGGCCCTAAGCCAGGAATTGGCAAACTTGGCCCTCCACATGTTCTTGGCCTACAACTCCCATGATCCCTAGCTTACAGGACCAGTGGTCAGGGATGATGGGAACTGTAGTCCCAAAACATCTGGAGGGCTGAGTTTGCCTATGCCTGCCCTAAGCTACTGGAGGCAATGGGGCCCTTTATATGTCCAGCTGTCCTTTGTCAACAACATATTGTCGCTGTTTTTTGTGTTGAATGTATGCTCTATGGTAATTTATGGACCAAATAGGTATCTAAAGCCATTTGCACAAAACAAAATATGTATCTTATCAAAGTAATTTTTGAACTGAAATACAGTTAAGTAGTATATTAATATATCTTATGTTTTCGAAATGTACATCCAGTTTTTTTCCTTTAATTTTTTTGGGGGGCCCCCAAGAGAGTGGGGCCCTAAGCTATAGATTGTTTAGCTTATACGTAAATCCAGCACTGTGTGTGTTATGTCATAGTATCATAAAATTGTGGAGTTGGAAGGCACCACAATGTGAGTCTCAAACCCATGACCCTGAGATTAAAAATCTCATTCTCTGCTGACTAAGCTATCCAACCAGATGAAGGGAATTCTACTTCTCTGGACCAGTTTTTGTTTGAAAAACTCCCCACACACTCTCACACAACCCTAAACACACACATTTTACTCCTACTCCAAACAATTCACCAATTTCTCCTAAAATCAAAGGAAAACAAGGATTACCTAGGAATTGGACCTTGGCCTAATATAGAGTAAGAACCCATCAATGCAAATAACGGCAATAATAACAAATCTCTAATAATATCCTCAAGGGGATATCACTGTACACAATAATAACGAGGACACTATATCATGTATATAATGTCAAGCCGTAACTGCTGGCAGTGGATGGAGGCTTGTAAACATTAAGTGATGGTAATAATCTCATCCTGTATCAGTTCCAGACATGAGTTTCTTGTGTTATTTAGGTGGCCTTTAGCTGCCTGCTCCAGATGGTAGACAGCAGTTGCTTTGACAGAAGAGACTGTCTTGTTGTTGTTGTTTAGTTGTTTAGTCGTGTCCGACTCTTCGTGACCCCATGGACCAGAGCACGCCAGGCACTCCTGTCTTCCACTGCCTCTTGCAGTTTAGTCAAACTCATGCTGGTAGCTTTGACAACACTGTCCAACCATCTCGTCCTCTGCCGTCCCCTTCTCCTTGTGCCGTCAATGTTTCCCAACATCAGGGTCTTTTCCAGGGAGTCTTCTCTTCTCATGAGGTGGCCAAAGTATTGGAGTCTCAGCTTCAGGATCTGTCCTTCCAGTGAGCACTCAGGGCTGATTTCCTTCAGAATGGATCGGTTTGATCTTCTTGCAGTCCATGGGACTCTCAAGAGTCTCCTCCAGCACCATAATTCAAAAGCATCAATTCTTCAGCAAGCAGCCTTCTTTATGGTCCAGCTCTCACTTCCATACATCACTACTGGTCTACTCCATAGCAAATATCTCAGACCATGGTGTCCCAACATGGGTTCAGTTTGAGGAGCCTGTTAGAGGAAGGTGCAAGCATTAGGAATAAACCCAAACTACCACGCAGAGTTATGGTGAGAGCAACCACGTATGCCAACCTGATCTCCTCACAGAAAGTGTGGGGTCACAATGTGTTAAAATGTAGTTAATTAAAGCATCTCAAGCCTGGCTGAAAACAGATGGGTGAGACAAGCAGCGATAACCTAGAGAGTAGTTCTGGTTGGGTGAGTAAGGTGGACTATTACGGGGTAGCCAACGTGGTGCCCTCCATATGTTTCAGACTGCAACTTTGGTCATCCTCTCCCATTGCCGGCTGGAGGTGGTGGGGAGCTGGAGTTCAAAAGAAGAACACCACATTGACTATGCCTGGACAATTAGCTCTTGGTGTCAAAAACTGGCGATCTCTATCCCCTTGTGGTGAACTGTACATCCGATATTACTTATTTTTGAGAAACCTATGCTGGGATGTAAGATGGAGAAGCTCTATACAGGCAGCAAAAACAAGACCTGGAGCTGACTGTGGCTCAGATCATCAGCTTCTTATAGCAAAATTCAAGCTTAAACTGAAGAAAGTAGGAAAAACCACTGGGCCGGTAAGATACAATCTAAATCAAATCCCTTATGAATACACAGTGGGAGTGAGGAACAGGTTTAAGGATTTAGATTTGGTGGACAGAGTGCCTGAAGAACCATGGATGGAGGCTCGCAACATTATACAGGAGGCAGCAATGAAAACCATCCCGATGAAAAGGAAATGCAAGAAAGCAAAGTGGCTGTCCAACGATGCCTTACAAATAGCAGGGGAGAGAAGGCAAGCAAAATGCGAGGGAGATACTAAATGACTAAACAACAACAACAATGCTGGGATGTGGGTGGTGCTGTGGTCTAGACCACAGAACCTAGGACTTGCTGATCAGAAGGTTGGCAGTTCAAATCCCCGCAACGGGGTGAGCTCCCGTTGTGAGCTCCCATTGTTCGGTCCCTGCTCCTGCCCACCTAGCAGTTCAAAAGCACGTCAGGTGCGAGTAGATAAATAGGTACCACTCCAGTGGGAAGGTAAACGGCGTTTCCGTGCGCTACTCTGGTTCACCAGAAGCTGCTTAGTCATACTGGCCACATGACCTGGAAACTGCCTGTGGACAAACGCCGGCTCCCTCGGCCTATAGAGCGAGATGAGCGCCGCAACCCCAGAGTCGTCCGCGACTGGACCTAACGGTCAGGGGTCCCTTTACCTTTTTTTTATGCTGGGTCTTAGTAAGCACAGCATCCTTTTCTAAGTGCTCACAGACGAACTGTTGAATTATCAGTTCTAGGACCTTTCCTGGTATCCATACGAAGCTCACCGGTTGGTAGTTACCAAGGGGCTGAAAAGCACTCCCCAGGCATCATCCTCTGGGAACAACTATCCAAGTAGGACTGGAACCAGTTCGACCTACCCCTAACTCGGACAGCTGCTTCAGAAGGACACCATGGTTGATGGTAACGAAACCGCTGAGAGGCTGAGGAGAAATAACAGGGACACATTTCCCATGTCTCTCTCCCATCTAAGGTCATCATGCAGGGTGACCAAAGCAGTTTCTGTGCCAAAACCGGGCCTAAACCCCATGAAATGGATCAAGAAAATCAGTTTCCTCCAAGAGCAAAACTAAAATTAGCTGTCTTTGCCTTTCACTGACTCTGGCTTTAACTGCATCTAGGAAAGCCTTTGTATATTACTATAGATAAAATCAATAAGCAGAAGAAAGAAAGGTGAAAAAGGAGAGGGGGGGGGAGAGACAGAAGACTTTGATTATAAGTTGTGAATCAGTAACTTTTTAGAGCTAACCTGCAGCTAGGATGGTAGATTGATGGGAAAGAAAGCCTGTCAGCCAAGAAGGTTATATAAGTACAGAATGACAACCACCTGTGGAGAACCTATCTGTCCCTCCTTATACGGAAAGAACATTACTGTGGGAAGTTTTATTTTTTGCTTCCAATATTTATCTGTTTCAGTGCTTTTGGAGACAAGTGTCCCAGCAGGCATTCTCGGCACCGCCATCCGTTCCTTAGAAAATTGTAGTGCCTTTCGCCTTTTGCATTTTGACACGGTGTGTCTGCCTGGGACACCTGGCGCTGTCAAGAGTGAGGTGAAATCCTTTGGGTAACTATCAATTTGAATACATTGCTGGCTTCATTTGTCATGTATCTACACCACCACCACAGCTATTGTTTTATTTTAAAAAAACAACAGCTACTGAATTTTTGCCTCGTAGATAACCATATTTTCCCGTGTATAACACGCCCCCTTGTATAAGACGCCCCCTATTTTGGGGGACTCAAAATTAAGAAAATGGGGGGAGGGGAGATCCCCCAAAGTTGTTGAGCTTTTTAGGGGGGATGTGCAGAAAATCGCTCACCTGCAAGACCGACAATGCCTGGTTGCACGCCTCACAAATGCCACCGATCTTTCTTCTGTTCCCTCACTGTCAAAGGCAAGAAATCGCCCGCCCAATTGCTGCAGCGACAGCCAATCAACACCAGCCCTTGCCGCAACCACCAATAACAATCTACCAGTCGCAGCAGCAACCAATCCCATGACCTCACAACGCACCACCCATGTATAAGATGACCCCCAATTTTAAAGATGATTTCTGAATAAAAATACCTAGTCTTATACATGGAAAAGTACGGTAATTCTTTTTTGTGTGTGAAGGTGCTTAAACCTCCCACTCCACTGTTTACACACTTGCTTCTCCTCACGCTTATTCAAAGAATAACTCTGCTTGACTTTAATCCACAAAGTGTTACTAAGACATAGAATGGTAAGGAAAGGAAGGGAACAAAAATGGAAGGGAACAAAAATGAAACCCAACTCTGAGCTTGCCTACACTTCTGCTTGTCCTGTGCCTAGAAAACACGGGTCTGAGCGGGTTTGCGTTTGTCCCCTGGGAAACAAACTCCTCAGAACTGAATTGGAACAAACAGCCATCCATGGAAAACCCCATTTGGTCTGATTCAGCAGGTAAACCACGGGTTTTCCCAGGTTTTCCCAGGGGAAAGCTACTTGACACCCAAGTAGCATCTTTTCTTTGGGCACCCCACACAAATAAAAACAACATATTCCGTGTGAAAAAATGCAGTACAGTATAAAACAACGTAAGCAGCACATTCTTTCTGGGAGGCATACAATAAAACACAACTCATCTTTATTTATTTAATTTAATTTGTAGGCTGCCCTTCATCCGAAAATCTCAGGGCATAAAGGTAACAGAGAAGAACCCTCGGACCGTTAAGCCCAGTCAAATTTGACTTTGGGGTGAGGCACTCATCTCGGCTTTCAGGCCAAGGGAGCCGGCGTTTGTCCTCTGACAGTTTTTCCAGGTCATTTGGCCAGTATGACTAAACCACTTCTGGCATATGGGACACTGTGAGAGTGGCCAGAGCACATGGAAACTCCGTTTACCTTCCCGCCACAGTGGTACCTATTTATCTACTTGCACTAGTTTGCTTTCAAACAGTTAGGTTGGCAAGAACTGGGACAAAGCAACAGGAGCTCACCTCGTTGTGTGGATTCGAACTGCCAACCTTCTGATCGGCAAGCCCAAGAGGCTCAGTGGTTTAGACCACAGCGCCATCCGCGTCCCTAAAACACAAACCGCATAATTAAGAACAAGAACAAAGCAAACCAATATCTTCCCCCAAAAGAAAACCATTTAATAGGACATAAAATGTTAATCAGCTAAAGGCCTGGTTGAAGAGGAAGATTTTCACCTGGCACCTAAAGATGTATAATGAAGGCACCAAATGAGCCTTCCTGGGGAGACACTGCAAAAAAGGCATGTTCTCATGTAGCCCAGATTATAAAATAACTGCTCCAAAAGGGATTGGGTATCTCAATTAATTGGTACTTCTTGTCATATTGCCGTTCAAGAAGGCACTCAAATCCACTCCTGTTGAAGTTAGCTTGTGCATAAGAACATAAAGGCTTGTTTGGATATGGGTGTTTTGAAGGAGTTACTGTTTTGAAGGAGAGCAATTTGTGATAACTCCCCTCCCCTAGTTTTACTTGTTGTTATCAAAGGCAGATATTT